TAAAATTGAAATCGGTAGTAAAAACGGGCTTCCGGAACTCAAAAAGGACCAAGAAGACGAGCTGGGCCGCGGTGGAAGCTTGCCCAAAGGCTCTGGCCACTAAATAAACTGGGCCGCGAAAATATTGGGCCTGGCACCCAAAAATTGGGCCGCAAAAAGTACCTGGACTGGGCTGATCGCGGGCCAGGACTGAGGGAGAACGCGGGCCGGAACGTGGGCTCGAAACGGGCCAAGCGGCCCTCGCGCCTAGGGGTTATTCTGAGCCGGGCGAAAAAATTACAAATGGCTGCTGGTGAAGTGATTCGACCACGGGACCTCACGCACGGAAGTGAACGCAGGTCACCACCGCACCACTGGCTTGGTTGCAACTTAAAAGACAAATAATAGTTACTAAAACAATAAATAAAAAATAAATCCTGCTGGGAACAAAAGAACAGATATATTTTTCTGGCAGCGCCTCAACAAGAACAGAGCGCGTTTTGCAAATATACTTCATCCGGCCACAGATTTTTTTACAGCGATTTCGCACCGGTTTTGAGCATTAACAAAATAACAAAATCTCCTGAGATCGAATTTTTATAAAAGTCGAAATTTTTGAAAAAAAAACGGAACGACTACACATCGAATGAAAATTCATGAACGAATAGAAATTCAACGACGACTCGGGAGTACCCAAAACGAGAACTCCAAATAACACGATAATATACACAGCAACAAGGCTCGATTAAAACTACGAGAGAGAGTCCCAAAAATTCCACGACACGAATCATAATCCGACGAACATACAATTATACGAGCCAATAATCAACAAGTACACGAGTACGATATAATCAACGAATAATCACGAAATAATCGAACGATATCCAATCTGAACAACCATTTACCAGAAGGTACTGATTGAAGAATACCTTTCTTCGAGTTCGGTTGGAAAAATTGGACGATCGGAACTTGAAATGGTCGGGCTCGGTGAACAAAACCAAGATGGCTGCTCGCGAACGGAGAACGGGGCTGACCTAGACGACGGCCGGCGACTGAGCTCGGGAAAAGAACAGCGACGGACTGGCTTTCTGGATCGATTGGCGGACTGATCTTCGGGGTCAGACGAGTTGGGGAAACGAGGGCTCGATGTTTCTCTGCAAGAAACGGCTCTGGCGGAAGGGTTCGCGAATTAAAAATGGAAATCAGCGGCTATTCACTGAGGGGGGGCGCCAGAATTAAATAGCAGACGCCGGCGACGGAATTAAATTTAAAGCCGCGGGAGGGAGAGAGCAGGAAAAAAGATGTGGAATTTCTTCATGTGATTTCAAACGAACCGATTTCTCTCAGCCAAGATATAAGGGACAAGAGAGGTGAACGTGCGATGGAGAATCTCCCACAAAATCGCAACGAAATTTTGATTTGGGAAGGAGAATACTCGGTCGCGGCGAGGAAGAAGGAACGGAAATCTGACGTTGAACTCCAACTTCTTTTGGGCCAAGGAGTTAAAACTCATGAATGGGCCAAATGCTTTAATTTAAATGGGCTCAAAATTTATCCAAATGGGATCATTCAAAATAATTTGGGTTGGGCCAAATTAATCTCTCAATGGCTACGGAAAATAATCAAAATCGGTCGGTTCTCTCGGGCCCGACTCGAAAATTATACGAGGCTCGGAAATTAAATCGTACAATAAATAAATAAGCCGGGTATTATTATACACACAATTAAAATATAAAATAGTAATATTAACAATAATACAAATACATACATTTTATAATAATAACATTTAGACATTTAAGCATTTAATTACAATTTGGTAAGTAAATATCATTTAGACAATTAGACATTTAATCGCAAGTTGATAAATAATTCATTTTAGACATTTAATAATATTTAGCATTCAAATAATAATAATAACAACAAATAAAGATAAATAATAATAATAATAATAATAATAATAATAATAATAATAATAAATAATTCTCAAAAATTCAATAATCAAACGGGGCATTACATTGATGTTGAACGAGGAGTTGAGGAATCAGAGTCGTCTTTATCACGTTCGTGGGTAAGATGCAGCTTATCACTTCTGATCACCTCGTGCAAAGGAGTCGTCTCCGAAGATGTTTGCAGCTGTTTGGCCATGCTTCTTGGGTGGAGCTTGAGGAACTTGTTGTAGGAACCTTAACTACGACAATCTTTCGACTAGTCATGATGATTTGATGAATTTTGGAGAAGAGATTAGAGGTAGAGACGTCCCACTGGGCGTGCCAGAAATTTGTAATAACAAATTTCGTGTATTGAATTTATAAACACGAAATATATTCTACAATTTGATTTCTCGAATCAAATAGATTTTGTGGATTAGAATCTCTATTTTCTCATCTGATTCTTCTAAAAATGATTTTTAAGTCTTGGAGCGAAATATTCGGCTTGATCTTCTATTTGACTTGATTTAACGTTAATCTGAGAGTCAACGCCTTGATTTCGGATCAAACGCCTTCATATCCCAAGAACGTGAAAAACAGGAGTCCTTGGTCTTCGCCACAAAGTTGATCTTGGATCTTCTATACACCGATTTTAAGTTTACTAATGCAATTCAGAGGCTTGACAACTCGTTTCCGGGTTAAATGTCAGTCTTGAAATAAAATAAAATAATTAAAATTAATTCGATGTAAAAGTAAGAGAGAGAAGATGTGATGTGATGGTTAGTTAAAATTATGTGAGTTGATGAATAGTGAATTAAGGTTGATGTTGTGTGTAAGAATGATTGATTGATATTATTTAACTATATTGATAAAATTAATGATAGTGGGGTTGAGTTAAAAAAAAATGGTTGAGTTAAAAATGATTGGATTTTTTGGATTGATTTTATATCCAAGAAAATATTTAATATATTATGAAAATAATAAAGAAAATATTTAATATATTATGAAAATAACCATGCTTATTGACATGGACATGGCATCCAAGTTAATTATGTATCAATCCAAAATATAGAATTATGACAAATAGGATCATGATGCATGAAGTCTGCCACCAGAGCCGGTCCTGGAAACTACAAGGCCCTGGGTCAAATATAAAAATAATGCCCCCAAGTACTTCTTTTACAAACTTTTTCTCTTCACCAACAAGTTCAAAAGCTATAGCCTCATTTTTATCATTTTGATTCTTATTGGTACCTTCATTCTCATCATTATTAGTTATATTTTCTTCATCATTTATCAACTCAACTTCAGTATGATTATCTTCGATCTGTGTTACTTTTAATTGTAACATCACTCTTATTCTTTTTAAGAATAATTTTATCTATTGAACCTATTAACGACTCAATTATAACTTCATTTTCTTTCTTTTTTTTTCTCCCTCTTTTGATGTCCAGATAGTTAAGTTTCTAATAATCAAATTATCAAACCAATAAATCAATAACAAATTAACAGTTATCACAATTTTTTCTAAACACATAAATAGAAATCACAAACAAAACTTATCCCAAAAATTAGTATGATAAAAATATACTAATCTTACAATATGTGCCTAGTCAAATGTTGAATCAAACAAAAAAATAAATAAATTATCAGAACAAGTAAACAAATAAAATCACAGCAAGAAAAGAAATTAACATAAATAGCCAATTTAGAAAATAGATATCAAACTAAAAATCAAGAATATAAAAATCAAAAGATCCCCTTTTTGTTCACTTCGCTGCGGTCGCCGGAAGCTGCGGACGGCGGTGAAGTTCGGCCCGGTTGTGGAGGACGGCGAGCCGGGCAAGGTGGACAGCGGGCCGGGCGAGGTAGACTACAAACGGATAGCCGACTTTTCATCAATGAGAGAGCCAAAAAAATTTTAATTGATCAATTTTTTTCAAAATAAAGAAAAGGTTCAATCTTGCCGATGAGTGTCGAGTGATGAATATGACTGAAGCATATGAAATAGATTAAAAAATATGGATTGAATTTGAATCTGAGTATGAAAAATAAAGATTGAAAATAATATTTATAATCTATAAAATTAATTACCTTGAACGTTGGAATTTTGGAATGGGAGAGATAGGGGGAAAATGATAAGTCGACGCAAGAAGATCAAAATTTAGAGAATGGAGGATAAATACCAGCCGCGCTCTTCCTTCTTGTTTACAGAGACGGAGTAGTCTAGTTAATTTGGGGCTTTAATTATATATATATATATATATATATATATATATATATATATATATTTCGCTAACATTCACTCATAAAATGTGCTGAGATTGTTTGATGTGTAGGACCGTGTATATTATTTTTAGTGGACTAGAGTCTAGTCTAGTGGAGTGGTGAACCTTTCTATTTGGGCCAGGAGTGTAGATTATTAGTGGACTTATGCTGAATCTTATTATTTGGGCCATAAATATATACAAAGTATACTAAATTAATGGTGCCCCTCTTTTAATTGCGGGCCCTGGGCCGTAGCCTAGGTCGGCCTTAGCCTGGACCGGCTCTGTCTGCCACTTAGACTTAGCACATTCAGAAATTATATATAGGAGGGATTTATAAGGGATTCATTTTTTCTATAAGGGACTCATTTTTATATATTTTTGTTGAAATTGTAATATGTTATTTCATTCTCTTTATATTAGAACATATTATGTTATTTAAAAAAAATATTAGGAACTCATTTGTTCTACATTTTATTTGTTGATGCAATGATATGTTTAATGAATTAATTAATATATCGTCCTCAACTTAATCCGCCAAAAGCATGCGCCACCACGTGCACTTTACTGCTTACTAAGAAAAGGAGAAACTAAAAATATACCAAAAAGGAAAAGAAAATAAAAGAAAAATAAACTCTTAGGTTTGTGTTAATGAGGGGAAGAAATCCAGTGATGCTTCAGATAAATAAGAGTTTGGATGCCCTGAAACACAAAAAATCGAGGAACTGAAAATATTGAAGCATATTCCCAATCTACTTATGGAGTATATGAAGTCGTGTTCTTTCTTTTCTCTCTCTTTTTTATAATAGTGAAACCTTTTGATGTTCTATGAGCTCCCGTGAGAATGAGCTGATGACACAGATCTTGCCGACATTGAGGCTGTAGGACTGTTCATGTCGCGCTCGGCATTTTCAAACTCTGGATGGCCCATCAGCATTTTTATAGCGATTTGGGCAATATCAGCAAACCATTCATCCTCGAGCAACACACTGAAATCCAANGCGTGAATTAGGATTTGCAGTTTTATCACTGTGCATATATTAATTTAGCAAGGACATAAAATAAATAAAAACCTGTATGGATCGATATTTTTTGCCTGGACGGCTTCAATAGCTCTACCGATTATGTTCTTCATCACTTGATGCAGGTTACGAGACAGATATCGTCCTTGAGATGCAAAAAGTATCACAAACTCCATATCCAAATAGAACTGCAAAAAAAATAAATAAATAAATAAATAAAAAAAAAAAAAAGGTTCACATCTTTTTTTGCCACAATCACATATCCATCTGAGAAGTTCTGATGCATTCTGAACAACATTAACGATAAATATGGAAATAAATTTGAAAATGGTACGAAAATTGAAACTTGTTGAAGTCCGAGAGGTCCTAACGTCCTCTCCCCAGTTTCGAGCTCATCCCAAAAGTTTTGATCTTCGGAAAACCATAAGATAACGGTTTCTCATCAAGAGAATGGTGGCAAACTTTTCCCTTCCAACAAATATATAAGATGCAATGCTGGCTATTCTTGTCAATTTTACAAATAGTTCCTGAATATGTCCAGTTTTAACCACTGTGTTAGAATACAAAGAACTCCAATTATTTCAAAATCACAAACTGTGTCAGAAAGCTTTGTGTTTTTTTTATCAGATACCCACTTTTGCATGGTGTAACTGGTAAAGAAAACAAAGGCCACACGGCTAATGTATTTTGAAATATAGCTGTTCCTTATTTGTTTTTATATTTTTTTTAAGAATATTTATGTATATATTCCATAGTAAGATTATTGTGCATATCAGATTCTTCGTTAGAGTACATAGCATTGGATGGTATAACAAAATTTTAGCCCCTTGTCCCCTTGAGTGATGCAAAGTAATCCTAACAAAGCAACCTCTTGACAAAGACAGAATAAATTCTCATATAAGGCGTTCTTTTCGTTAGAGTACATAGCATTTAAGGTATCCAAAATCTCTTTCGCAGAGTTTAAAAACATAATATCGGTGCTAACATATTCTTCCATGCTATTGACAAAAGTCATGACAGAAAAATCAGCTTGCATCAAAGTGGCATATCATCTTTCGAAGCAGGAGCAGAAGATAGAATATGATTTAATTTGCCTGAGAAAGAGTTTGAAAGCTTTTGACCACAAAATATAGTTAAAACCGTTGAGTTTGTCGGTCGTTCCCAAAGCAGATTTAGTTTTAGAATCCATAATGAGAAAGTTGTATCAAAACAACAATTTTTTTTTTCTTATAGAGAGAACAGAGAAAATCAGATGAAGGAGAAGACAATTTCTTATTGATTCTTATTGTGTATGGTGTAGTATAAACTTCCAGTATTTATAGTGGGGAAAAAAATCAAAATACAATATGGACCGACTATATACAACGTACCTACCATAGAAAGATAAATCAAAGCAATATGTAATAAGAAGATATGCACAATAATGAATAATCTAACTATAAAACATATACTTTTGATAGATTTTGTCCCTCTCTGCTCGCGAAGAAAAACCTCCGACAGTTGCTCTTCAACCTCAGTCGCATCGCCTTCCTTGGCTCCGGCGGGGCTCCGGCCAGTGGTCGTCCTCGACCGCCTGGCCTTTCTCCCGATGGCGTATACCACTAATTTTGCCGAGGCAGCTCTACGAGAGATGGTCAGTCCAAACCCTAGATTGCAGGTTTGCTCGCGAATGAGGGTGGTGAGCTCCTCCGATGGTGATTGGTCAGCAATTGGTGGCAGAGATTGCTGGTTTCTCTCGATTAGAGAAGGTTCCCCCAAATTTATGTTGTTGTCTGCGATTGAAGGTCTCCCTCTGGGTGTCTTCGATTTTCCGGTAGGGTTCAAAAGGGGGTTTTCGTCTTGTTGGCCAGAGGTCTGCGGCGGTGAAATTGGTTGGTCTGGTGGTCGTCGGGCGGGGCTGGACACCGGTTGCTGCGGTGGTTTCTGTCGTGGCTTTCGGAGTTGAGGGGCTGTTCCACCCCGGCTTTGCTCGCCTAGTGGTGTTAGGCGGCAGGGTAATCGGTCATTTTGCGCTCGACTAGTGGTGTTAGACGGGCTCAGGCGGACTGGTTTAGGGGTGGATTATGACTCTCTCGGTCTTCGATGGGTCTATTCGGGGACTGGTTCATAGTTAGGGTTCTGCTACTGTATAGGCTTGATTGCAGTTTCGGTAGTAGGTTCTTGGCTTGGATTGGTCTTGTGTAGATCGTTCTTTGCTGATTTGGGCTCGTTGGTTGGCTGGGGAAGGGCTCTCTCTATTGATTTATTAGTTTTTGTTTTAGGTTTTGGTATGTTTTGAGTCTGTGTTTGTATTTTTTGGTCTTGTTTTTTAGGTTTGGGCCGTTGGCCCCGATTCTGATTCCCCTGTGGGGGCGTTTCATATTCTCCTGTGGGGAGTGTTCGTAGTTGGTGTGTTGGTGTCTTTTAGTTGTGTTTTGTGTGTTTTCTTTTCTAGCATGGCTAGCGAAGCTCTAGGCGTTTTCGATCCGTCCTCCCAGTTTTAGTTCTTGGTTGTAATATTCAGCCTTGGGCTGCTTTCTTGCACAGTTGTGCGTTTTGATATATAATATGCCTATCGTTTCGTCAAAAAAAAAAAAAA